GTGGATCAGACACAGCAATGCTGCTGGAGTTTTTAAACACCTCAGTGCCACTGCTGGACTGAGAATAGTCCACCAACCAAAATCCAGCCAACAGTCCTGTGGGCAGCGTCCTGTGACCACTGATGAAGGACTAGAGGATGACCAACACAAACTGTGCAGCAACAGATGAGCTACTGTCTCTGACTTTACATCTACAAGGTGGACCAACAAGGTTGTCTAACAGAGTGGACACTGAGTGGACACAGTGTTTAAAAACTCCAACAGCACTGCTGTGTCTGATTCACTCATACCAGCGCAACACACACTAACACACCACCACAACGTCAGTGTCACTGCGAGAATGATCCACCACCCAAATAATACCTGCTCTGTGGTGGTCTTGTGAGGTCCTGACTATTGTAGAACAGGGTAAAAGGGGGTTAACAAAGTATGCAGAGAAACAGATGGACTACAGTCTGTAATTGTAGAACTACAAAATGCTCCTATATGGTCAGCGTAGCTGATAAAATGGACAGTAAGTGTAAATACAACAAGATGGTTTTAATGTTAGCTGATTAATGATGGCTGATCGATGAATGTTTGGAGTGACAAACTTCTTATTTGTCAGTTCTTCACTTCTACTTCTTTAACTTTAAATAAGTCCTTCACATTCACACATTTCATTTTCAAAAATGGTTCTTCAAAGAAGCATCTACTGAATGATTGAACCAAAAGTGGTTCTGTGGCATTCACACCTTTCATTCCAAATGTGGCTTGAATTTCGCTGGTCTAGTAAAACATGTGTCAAGACAGAGAATAAGCAAGGAATGAAAGAGAATACAGCTTAATGTGGATCAATCTGAAGATCAGCTAGGACTACAGGGTCTGCAGAGACATAGCTAGCTGCATTTGACAGCACTCAAAAGAACAGTAGTGAACTGCTTCAAAGGGATCTAAAAGCACTGTTATCACTGGCTCTATATACACTCTAAAAATAGGTTCCTGAATAGTTCCTGGCTTAGACATATGGTTCTATGAAAAACAGTTAAATGCAATAGAATCTTTACTTGAGGTGGAGACTCTTTAAACTTGAAAAAAAGGTTTGGATCCCTCAAACATCTCATTTTATTCTTTAAAGTAGCATCTACTGAACAAGTTGCTTCACTCCAAACACCCCTTTTCCTCACCTTTACTTTCTGAGAGTGTAAAGAGAACAAGTACAATCACACTGCAGAACATTTCTCTGAAATAAGCTCCTCAAACGCACTTCATTGACCTACAAGAAAGCCACGTCAGCATGTGCTGCAATGTCCAAAGACTAACGATGAGTCTGGACCGCTCAAGGTGAAATCGTGTTGAAAACCAGATTCTCAAGGACAAATGCAAATTTTAAAAACTGGACCGCCTTCAGAAATCCATCAGAGACGGAGAGTTGTCCTCATACTGAACTGAACAGACTATTCACTTCCTCTCCTCACAGTATCCTCACTGAGGGTTCAGCCCCCGAGCCATTCTCTCTCTCTATTCCTCCCTCCCTCTTTCTCTCCCCTTGCTCTCTCCCTATCTTTCTCTATTCTTGTCTCTCGCTCTTCATTGCTGCCTCTGTTTCTCTCTCCTTGTCTTCTTTCTCTCTCTCCTTTTTTGATTTAGCTCTTTTTCTCTATCCCTCTCCTCATTTATTGCCCTCTTTCCCTTCCTCTCTCCTCCTTCTTTCTCTTCTCTCTCTACCTCTCCCTTCTTTCTCCTTTTCTCCCTCCTCACTCTCTCCATCCTTCCCTCCTTTCCTTCTTTTTCATTCTTTTCTTGTTCATCACTCTCTTCTCCACTCTCTCCTTCTATCTCCATCTTTCTCTCTACCTCCCTTTCTCTCTCTTTCTCTTCTCCACTCTTCATCTTTCCTTTTTTTCTTATCTTCCTTTATATCTCTTTCTCTTCTCCTTTCTCTCCCTTCCTCTCCCCCTGTCTCCTTCCCTCTGTCCCTTTCTCTCTCTATTCTTTTGTCTCACTCCTTCTTCTTTGCTTTGTCCTTCTCTCTGTCTTTCCCTTCCTCTCCCCTCTGTCTCCTTCCCTCTCTCCTCTGTCCTTCTCTCCCTCTTTCCAAACCTCCCTCCCCTCTGTCTCCTTACCTACCTTTCTTTTGCCTCACTCTTTCTTCTTTGCTCTCTTGTCTTCTCGCTGTCCCTCGCCCGCTTATTTCTCTCTTTTTTCTTTCGGTCTATCTATCTCTCTCTTCTTCTTCCTCTCTCTTTTGCTTTCTCTTTCCTCCCTCTTTCTCCCTCTATATGTCTTTCCCTTTCTTTCTCTCTCTATCTCTGCCCCCTCTGTCCCTCCCTCTTTCCTCCCTCTCTCTGTCTCCAGCCAGACAGAGGCAACTAGAGATCCAAATGGGTCAATAAAGAGCGTGCTCGAAGGCTGTACCCATGTTGCACGCTTTCACCAAGCACCCCACCACCCCGCCATTAATATTCCCACCATCTGCACTGCTGAGAGCGCACGCATGCACCAACACATAGATCCTTTCCTCCAAGTCCGTCAGCGTCTCTCCCTGCAGAATGAATAATTGCAAGCAATTTCGGAAGAAAGCAAACTGTTTCCCTTCTCTCGCCGAGGCAGGAATGCCAAGCAATGCCTGATGCAGTGGCTGGCCTGATAAGTCACCTTGAATTTATTTTTCACTTTAGTTTACTTCCAGCTCTGCAGCTCTCGACATTAACAGTTGAAAAAATTAAAAGCCACACTAAAATAATTCCTGTCAAACAATTTGTATTCTAATCTTAAAATCATGGCCTTAGCCAAGCAGGCCGCTGCATTAGTATTAAAATAATGCTTTATTTTTAAGTTTCAATTGTGATTGGAGCATAAAAGAGAAACCTGGTGCTCTATTCATGCAGTCTAGATAGAAAATGATTAGATAGAAATGCATTCTTAAAAATAAAGGGTTCCTTGCAGCAATGCCATAGAAGAACCAGGGGCCAGATTTATGAAAGCTTTCTTAAAAAAAACTTGTTCATAAGAATGTTTTTAAATGCAATTCTCAAAAAAATTTAAGAATTCTCAAAAATTCTCTTAAGGAAAGTGACCAGCATAGCGTTCTCCTTTAGCAGCTGTAGCCAGTCAGCAGCCTCCCCATGTTGTCCACCCTCACACACACGCACACATATACAAACACAGAGACAAGCATACACTGACAGCAGGCCATGTAGGAGAAGAACAGAGTGAAGAGACACAGCACCTCCACACTTTTATTCCCCGCAGGTTCACCCCAACACCACATGTGTAATTTTTATTGTGTAGGGGGTGTACAGTGGGAAGGCATTGAAAATATGTTGTTTTATATGTTCTTCACAGAAAATGAGCAAAGACTAAGGAATCTGATTCCTTAGAAATAATGATAAATCGCATTATTTTTGGTTTTTGGTAAACATTGAAAATGGGTCTCACATGATTAAAACATGAATAAAACAGTACATTTTAAAGAAGAAATCATTAAATAAAAAAATAAAGATAATTAAGATTAAGATCATCTTAATTATTTTCTTAATTTGTTTTCTTATGTAGGCTATGCTGCATTTTACCATGTATCATAAATGATGCAAGATACATTTTGATTTAGTATTAACTGTTATTTCTGTTATTTAGTTAATTCCACTCAGAGGAGCAAAACAGAGGAAAACATCAAACCAAGCATTAAAAAATAGCAAAGAAGAACTAGAAGTGATGGTGGAAGAAATAACCAACAGGAAAAAAATCCTCCTTGGAAAATCTAATAATTGTGGGGTGATGGATGAGGATGGGCAGGAGGAGCAGAGACAGTGCCCGTGATAAGTTTAGACACTGACCTTGTCAACTCTTATGGCCTAAGACGAGTGTGAGGCTGTCGTAAGGTTGAGAAAACATTTAAGAACAAAATACTTCCAAGAATATCACCTGTGCTTAGAATTACTCTTAAGAAAATAGATAATTCTTGAGAATTTATTTGAAGAATAACAATTTCTCTTTCCTTAAGAATGAAGTTAAGAAAAAGCACACATTTCAGAAGATTTTCTTTCCTACACTGTGAGAAATCAAGATTCTGGTACATTTTTTATTCATCAAGGTACAAACAATGTAAATGTACCTCAAAGGTACAACAGTGGTTTTAAGGTCCAATTTAAGTACCTTAAATAGGTTTTTCCAGGTGAAACTACATATTTGTAAGTTTTCATAACGTTCATAATGTTTTAAAACAGAACAATAAAATAAAAAGCCTGGAAACGAGACGGGGTGTGTGGAATCAATACAACTCTCTGGATTTTGGTACAGTTATGTTCCCTGACTAAAGGTACTGCCCAAGAGACAGTTGCGTACTTTTTTTTTTGGGGGGGGGGGGTTGTAAGACACTTTCGTGAGTCGGCCCCAGGCTCTTTAAAAACATTTTTGTAAATGAGATGTGAGTGTACAACCTTTTTTTAAGGTTTAAAGAACCTCTATACATATCTTGAAGGTTCTGTCCCATTCATATACTTTTCACAGAACTGTACATCCAAGCCAAGAACTATTCATGAACATTTATTTATAGCAGTGTACATGAAAAAACGACTTTAAGAAGATCTTTTGCAAACTGGAATGTCAGTTTTCACAGACAAGGAGTTTTGTGTGTCTGTGTGTGTGTGTGTGTGTGTGCATGTACCTTTTCTATTAATTTAGAACTGGCATAAACCTAAGCGAAGCATGAGAAGAACGTTGTCCAAACTCACCACATATGACGGAAAGACATCAACCATGAAGTTTATATGTAAAACAAATTCAAATGGTTCACCATGTCAGATTATAACATCCCTAAGGCACTTCTCTGTTTGCCTTTTAGCTTAATCTTTAATATTTGAATGTATCCTGGCAGGCAATTCCAAAGGACAGGTAACATCAACAATTGCCTAATCAACATTTGGCATGTCACTTTATGAGGCACTAGCGTTTTGCCCCAGGGCAGGCTCATGTAAAAGCTTGAGCTTTTTGGGCTGAGACAGCTGTGATAACAACAGAGCAGAAGATGGGGGAAGCTGAGAGAAGGACACCTGCTGCTGAACAGATGGGTGAAAGAGGTCAATGGAAGAATAAAGTGGAGTTTCTGTTGGCCATGGCAGGAAATATCGTCGGTCTGGGTAATGTATGGAGATTCCCATACCTGTGCTACAAGAATGGAGGAGGTAAGAAACTGAGGGATCATTATGAAGAGAGCAAAATTAGTCCTGTTTGACTTGGTTTAGTGCAACACAGTATGTGATGTGTGAGTATGTATTTATATGTGTATATATATATATGTATATATATATATATATTATATATATATATATATATATATATATATACATATATATCGCTGTTGTCAGAAAAAAACTCTAAAATCGTAACTTTACAGAAAAAGAAAAAAAAAACCTACTATACTTTTAATGCAAGTCAATGGAACCAGACTTTTTGCCAAGTCATTTTAGGCTGTTTTTTTGGTCCATTCATCATGAAATTTACACACAATGTAAAGGGTAACAGGCATTTTCAAAGTATGCCAAAGACTGAAAAATGACTAAAATGGAGATACGAGGTTTTCTAATGACAGCAGCGATATATATATATATATATATATATATATATATATATATATATATGTGTGTGTGTGTGTGTGTGTGTTTGTGTGTGTGTGTGTGTGTGTGTATGTGTGTGTGTATGGCACCTTTTAAGTATGTAAAAATGTATTTCTTGAAAACTAAGCAAAATTTCTTGAAACTTAGCAAATACTAAATGCTTACAACATGCTAAAGGCAAAAATCTAATTAACACAATTTGCTTCAAATCTCAAATGCAATCAATCAGGCAAGATGTGTCTAGTATCTAAGTTTTGCTTCTTTAATTTACTTTTTATGCTCCTCTATTGTGCTCACTTTCTGTAATATTTGTTCCTAAGAGGTGGGTTGAAAGAAGTTTTGCCTATTCAGGAAAATAGGTGGGGTGACTACTGACTTCAAGTCAGAACGTCTCTTGGCTGCTTGGCTGCATTTGAGGTTTACATTTATATGTATTTACATTTTTTTTACATTGGTAGGAGAAGGTATTGTTAGGAGTATTGCCCAAGGACTCTTATTGGTATAAGGTAGCGTGACTGCCCAGGGCAGTGGATTGAACCCTAGTCCACAGCATGGGAGGCAGTGGTGTGTAATGTAAATGTAAATGTAAATGAAACTCGAGGTTAGAGGCAAATCATGTAAATTAGATTTTTTACTGAACTGTTCCACTAAAGCATGTCTTAATCATATGACTTCATAGGTGCTTTCTTGGTGCCTTACTTGCTGTTTGCTGTAACTTGTGGTGTTCCACTCTTTGTCCTGGACACATGTATTGGACAGTACACAAAGGAGAGTGTGGCAACATGCTGGAGAAGAGTCTGTCCACTGGCTGAGGGTGACCAAACCATTATATTTACTCACTTTTTCCCCAGATGATCATCTATGATGTTTGTGTACATGCTTAAAAAGGATTCTTCAGTAAATAAAATTGTTCTATATGGGACATGGTTACAAGCTTGAGATCGCAACAATAGAATAACGCTTTTTGGTGCTACATGGAACCTACAAGAAGGTTTTATATAAATCCATATACAACACATTCTCCATCAATCTAAAGAACAATTTCACCATGCAAAGAACATTTTAAGCATTCAAAAGATCCCTCAAAGAACCATCTTTTTAAGAGTGTAGGTTTATGTACACTGCCACAGAGATTGCATTACTGGAAAAGCTGTGGTAGTCCTGCCCCTGTGCATCGTGATGGTGTTAGGCATTGTTTTATCCTAAAAGTATTTCAAACACTAATTTTTTTGATGGTGCATTTAGTTTAAGTTTGGGTTTTCATTATGCATGAGTGAGTATACCTGATGTTCAACTACGAGTGTTCAGTGCTCATGTTTCCAAGAAAAGAAATCAACATCTAATTTATTTCACCACTGAGGAAGACAGCAAAAGTTAGGAAAATTGAACTCAACAGAACACTCCGCTACTGGCAGTGGCAGAAATTTCCATAACTGTTCTACTGAAAGATATGGCGAACTCATAAACATGCTGCAAATTCAGAAACACTGATCAACATGACTAGACTTGAACTACATTTCACAAATGTACTGCAAACTCAGAGAACACATGCAACATCAGAAACAGTAGTTATCAGTCATAAAAATTTTAAACTCTACAGCTAATTGCCATCACAATCTTGTGATGTTAGACATCTGTTCAAATAATAGTTAATGTTTTTGCTTCAAAGAATCTGAATTGCTCCATCCTTTTTGAGTTTCCTCTGGAAACATTTCCACTGTGTTGTGACTGACTCTGCCACTTTCCTGGTGACATAATTTTAATGAAAGTATTTTGTGAGTTCGCAGGATTGTCTATGGATTCGCAGCATGTTTTATTATTTTGCAGAGCGTTTGTAAAATTAAGTGCATATGTTGTCGTTTTGATTAAAGAGTTTTCTACGTTTGCAGCTCATTTTTGTATTTGCAGTTTGTTGGAGCTTCTCAGCCACCATAGAGGTTTGCTGTCATCCGCCTAGCATCATAATGAGAACACTAGTGTTGTAGTCAAGATCACTAAAGGCGAGTCCAAGGCTGTGTCCAAAAACTTTCGCTACTGCTCCTACAATAGGGCTCTTCATACTGTACTCTCCTACCCCAGAAAAATGCGAGGGAATCAAGGAGAGAAAATTAGCAGGAGGAATGGACAAAACAGGTGATGACAAGACCATGACAAAACAGAGTTACAATGGCGTTGAGACTGAGACAAGACCCAGTCACAATGACATCAGGACCGATACAAGACCGAGTCACAATGATGTCAAGATTGAGACAAGACCGAGTCACAATGACGTCGAGACCAAGGCAAGGCCGAGTCACAATGACGCGAGACCGAGACAAGACTGAGTTACAATGATGTTGCGACCGAGACAAAACCGAGTCACAATGATGTCGAGACTGAGACAAGATTGAGTGACAAAGACATCAGGACCCAGAAAAGACAGAGCCACAATGATGTCAGGATCGAGACAAAACCGAGACACAGTGATGTCAAGACCGAGACAAAACCGAGGCACAATGATGTCAGGATTGAGACAAAACCGAGTCACAGTGATGTTGGAACTGAGACAAGACCAAGTCACAATGATGTCGAGACCAAAACAAGACCAAGTCACAATGATGTCAGGATTGAGACAAGACCGAGTCACAATGATGTTGAGACCGAGACAAGACCGAGTCACAATGATGTCGAGACCGAAACAAGACTGAGTTACAATGATGTTGCGACCAAGACAAAACAGAGTCACATTGAGTTTGAGACCGAGACAAGACTGAGTGACAAAGATGTCAGGACCAAGAAAAGACCAAGCCACAGTGATGTTGGGACCGAGACAAAACCGAGTTACAATAATGTCGAGACTAAGACAAGACCGATTCACACTGATGTTGTGACCGAGACAAGTCCAGGAATGGCAACGTATGGTTTTAAGACTGAGACCTGAGTACTACAACACTAGTAAACACAGCATAACTTTCGTTGTGAAAGACAGGGTAAAACTACTACAGGCTGAAGAGGCTACTGTATATAAACGTGTGGGTTTTAATGACATTACAAAAGGAATTAAAACAGACTGTTTTAACAGCTCAGTTTCCATTTACAGACATGTAGCTATACAACTTTAGCACAGTTGTTGTTAAACTGTGATGTTATTTGTAACAGAAATAATCTAATTTCAATGTAGTGATTCTGAATTTACTTAGAAACATTTTGTATTTGACTGTGAGTTTACATTCTTTCAATCTTCTTGGCAGGTATTGGTCACGCGGGCTGTTTGATTGCGCTGTATAACTGCATTTGCTACAATATCATTCTAGCCTGGGCTCTATTCTACCTCATCTCCTCTCTGAGTGTGGAGATACAGTGGAATACCTGTGGTAATCTCTGGAACACAGGTACAATATATGGTTGATGCATGCAAATAGACTTCCTCTGGTTCCTTTTCCAGATTAGAAATATATTAATGGAATTTTTATCAAGGAAATTAAGCACATCTAATGAGAGTCATCTTCTGAACAAACCTAATGTAGCTCACAGCTGATAGCTGAAGGGCAGTCAATCAGGTGTTTTTGAGGTTGCCCCTTATCATTCAGATGGAATCTTAGCACCAGCCATTAATGTGTAATGATGATGGACTTTGTGCCTCGTCTTCTTTTCTGTTCCTCTCTTTGCCCATTAGTGAACTGTGTCGAGCTCACATCAAACAAGATCAATTGGGCCGTCAACAAGACTCAACTGAATTTCACTGCTTCTGCTGTCACTGAATTCTGGGAGTATGTAATTGCTATTCCAGCCAATAAAGTAGCTATTGATCGTGCTCGGTCATATGTCTCATAACTTTTCCGCCTCTGACCATCAGGCGCCGTGTGCTGGCCATCTCTACAGGAATTGAGGTATTGGGCAATGTGAACTGGGAGATTCTCCTCTGTTTACTTGCTACTTGGATCATATGTTACTTCTGCATCTGGAAAGGTGTCAAGTCAACTGGAAAGGTCAGAAAAGACTTCAGGCTGTCATTTACAGGACTGAGCAAAAGTCAGAGACAGCACTTCATTCATTTAACTTCCAGTTAAAATGGCTATTAAATACGAGTTATTATTTTTAAAGAGATATTTCTTTGCAGAAGAATGCAAAGATAATCATCTTGCATAAGGAAGGGGAAAGTCAAAGGGAAGTAAATGAAAAATGAGAGTGTTCAAGACTACAGTTGAGAAAATGATGTGAAAATGGGCCTCCTAACAACCTGGTAGACCAACAAAACCACCACCATCAGATAAACGTACTTAAAGCTTTCATCTTGGATAAATAGAAGGAAACCCAGTTTCTCAACCTCAACATCACTGAACATCTTTGAGATTACTTGGAAATGCAAACAACTTCTAAGACTGAACTTTGGAGCTGTGGAAAAATATCCCTTTGGATTTCTTGAAAAACAAAAAGCAAGTCTCCTGTAAAGAATGAAATAATGGAAGCTGTAAAAAGGCAAAGAGTGGACACACTAAATACTAGAAAACATGATCTTGAGGCTTCTGGGCAATTTTCTGTTTGATATATATATGATATATATACATATATATATATATATACATACATATCATGAAGCTGAAAAATGAATAACTTGTGCTTAAAGGCCATTTTGACTGTACATTTTATTAAATGAAGGGTGGTCTGACTGTATTTCTACCAATTGTGTAGACTGTGGTCATTTTTGATGTAATCGTAAGACTTACCTTTTTGACAGTTCTTTTACTTCTTTCTACTACTTTTTCATACTGAGTGTCAGTCTGTAAAGCACTTTGAATAACAATTGCTTGTATTAAAGGTCCTATAGAATTGAAAGAGCCTACATCATGGAGAACCATACTTTTCCCCACAAACATCAGAAGTGGACCACACGAAAATACCCTTCAAACAATGACTGATTAATTATTTTTACATTGTTGTTAAATGTGATTATGTTGTTATGTTGTTAAATTCAGTGGTTTAAAATCAAACTCTAATTGCTGTCTGTTTTATTGATGTCTTTCTTAGGCAGTTTATTTTACAGCTGTCTTTCCATATGTGATGATGCTAATTTTGCTGATAAGAAGTCTGACTTTACCTGGAGCCATGTATGGTGTGAAATATTACCTGTACCCACAGCCCTCACGCCTCGCAGACCCACAGGTGCTGTCATGTTAACTGCTAAAATGAAGCAGTGCCATTAACTGATAAAAGATAGTCAAATGTTTTGTCATCTAATTAATGTTACCAGTTAATTGAGATGAGCTAGACTTTGTCTGACACTGCATTAAAACATGCAGTGCTCTTCTTTGTTTGAATATTTGATGCCTCCCAGGTTTGGATCGAGGCAGCGATGCAGATTTTCTTCTCCTACAGTTTGGGAGCAGGTAGTCTGACAGTTCTTGGAAGTTACAATCCTTACAAAAACAACTGCTGCAGGTGAGCCACCAGCTAGGTGAAAATTTAGAGCAATATGAAATTCAAGTGTAATGTTACAGTATAAGTACAAAGACAACATATCAAGAGTTGTATGCCTATTCTGAATTTGATGGTAATAACATGTTTCAAAAAAGTCAGGCTGCATTAAAAACAGACACAATTCTGTAGTGGAAATCAATGAAAGGACACAGGGACATTTCCTAAAACCACTGTCTATGAACACAGTTCGTCACTGCATCCACAAATGCAAGTTAAAGCTCTGCCATGTAAAGAAGAAACCATATATAAACAGGATTCAGAAACACCGCCGCCTTCTCTGGGCTCATTTAAGATGGACTGAGGTGAAGTGGAAAGTAATGAACACTCGTCCTCTGGGCTAAGAAGATAAGGGACCATCCAGCTTGTTATCAGTGCACATTTCCAAAGCTAGCATCTGTGATAGTATGGGGGTGCATTAGTGCACACGTCATGGGTGACTTGCACATCTGTGACGGCACCATTAATAGAGAATGATATATACAGATTTTGGAGCAACATATGCTGACATCCAGACAATGTCTTCTTTCAGGGAAGGCCTTGCTTATTCCAGTAAGACAAACCACGTTCTGCATGTATTAGAACAGCATGGCTCCATATTAAAAGAGTCTGGGTGCTAAACTGGCCTGCCTGCAGTCCAGACTTGTCACCACTGATAACATGATAAAAATACAACAATGGAGACCCTGAACTGTTAAACAGCTGAAGTTCTAATAGCAAGCAGGTATGGGAAAATATTTCATGTTCAAAACTACAGCAATTGGTCTCATCAGTCACCTAACACTTACAGAGTGTTGTTAAAAGAAAAGGTGATGCAATGCAGTGGTAAACATGCCACTGTCTCAACCTTTTTTGAAATGTGTTGCTAACATCAAATTCAAAATGGTCATGTAACTTTTGATATATTGTCATTGTACTATTTTCAGTTAAAAATAGAACATAAATGATTTGCACATCATTGCATTCTGTTTTATTTACATTTTGCACAGTGTCCCAACTTTTTAGGAAACACAGTTGTATACAGGCTCCTGTTATTTATGCTTTGTTGCAGACAGAGCATTTGGCTGTGTGTGGTGAACAGCTGTACCAGTTTCATAGCTGGATTTGTGGTGTTTTCAGTACTTGGCTTTATGGCACAGCAGCTTGGTGCTGATGTTGAAGACGTAGCTGAGTCAGGTAGTTTTAACAAACATGCAAATATGCATATGCAACGCATATTTCATAAACGTCTTAAGTACAACTTATCCTTGTATTGTTTTATAGTTACTTTCATAGTTTCTGTTCCAAGATTGGACAGGCTTTACAGAAAGTTGGCCAAAGTCCCACTCGACCTAATGAGAAATTGTGGCACATAACAAAATATGCCCGTTTAGTGTGTGCTTTATGTCAAATGATAGTTATTTTATATGCATGTGAAAGGACACACAGATGAGGTGTATGTTTGTTGCTGTGTAATTGAAGTGTTTAAAGGGACATTTAGGCTTAAAACTGGAGTTGAATATATCATGTTATGCAGTTATTATGTAGCACAGCATTGTTTCCCTCAGCCTCATCAGTTTGACAGAACTAACAGTATTATTTTTATTATATATTGTTTTATGTTTTTGTCTGTTAATGGTTTCTCACTACAAAACCCAGCATGCATTTTGCAAACATGTTATACATCCATTGGGAAGCCCTGTGGAGTCAAACAATCTTGACTGCTAGCCTAGCCACTGAGCTATAGGCTAATAAATACCAGAGAATTTATAGTGAGGAGAACTGCTACTTTGTAATGTCTAGTGGGTTTGTCTAACACTAGAAGATGCTTCCAAGCAAGTCCAAAATAAATGGGTTAATATGGAACATTTGAGCAAAACAATGGTTTGTAAATATTAAAACATTTTATATAGAAAAATGCATTTATCACCTGAACACAGAACAGCATAAAACATTTTAACACTGCTGTTATATTTCTGAATGATTTTGAACTCAAGTTATAGAATTTTCTAACAGTGCCTCATGTACGTTCATGATGTCAGTGAGCGTGAGCAGCTCCGCTCGCCAACCAATCAGCATTCAGTAGCAGTAGTGCCAGTGAAATACATCATTTTACTTTCTAAAATTAAAGAAAGTCCTGGAGTAAGAAACTATTTTAACTTTATGTTTTCAGCTGTTTAGCTCCATTCAACCCCAGGCCTTGAGGACTCCCTTTGGCATTTTGTATTGATGTTTTTGATATATTTTTTGTTTTGATAAGTAATCCATTACTCCAGTGTGTTGATGACTTTAAGACAGTTGCTACAGTTACATGGCTACAATATAATTTGGCTTCTAGCAGAAATGTTAGCTGTTTGCCTTCCTCTTGTGTTCACCTTAGAATCTTCGTTTGTTTCCCTCCAAAGGTCCAGGTCTTGCATTTATAGCCTATCCTCAGGCAGCTGCCAGGATGCCACTACCACAGTTGTGGGCAGCCTGTTTCTTTATCATGCTGGTTTTCTTGGGCCTAGACACACAGGTAAACCAGCAGGTGTTATATCTATCTATTTATCTATCTTTCTGTATATATATATATATATATATATATATATGCACTTTGTAGTTCTGCAATTACAGACTGTAGTCCATCTGTTTCTCTGCATACTGTGTTAGCCCCCTTTTACCCTGTTCTTCAGTGGTCAGGACCCCCATGGACCCTCACAGAGCAGGTACTATTTGGGTGGTGGATCATTCTCAGCACTGCAGTAACACTGATGTGGTGGTGGGCTGTGTTAGTGTGTGTTGTGCTGGTATGAGTGGATCAGACACAGCAGTGCTGCTGGAGTTTTTAAACACTGTTCCCACTCACTGTCCACTCTATTAGACACTCCTACCTTGTCAGTCCACCTTGTAGATGTAATGTGAGAGACAGTAGCTCATCTGCTGCTGCACAGTTTGTGTTGGTCATCCTCTAGTCCTTCATCAGTGGTCACATGACGCTGCCCACAGGACACTGTTGGCTGGACATTTTTGGTTGGTGGACTATTCTCAGTCCAGCAGTGTCACTGAGGTGTTTAAAAGCTCCAGCAGCACTGCTGTGTCTGATCCACTCAGACCAGCGCAACACACACTAACACACCACCACCACATCAGTGTTACTGCAATGCTGAGAATGATTCACCACCCAAATAGTACCTGCTCTGTGAGGGTCCATGGGGGTCCTGACAACTGAAGAACAGGGTAAAATGGGGCTAACAAAAGATGCAGAGAAACAGATGGACTTGAGTCTATAATTGTAGAACTACAAAGTAGCATATATGTTCACTTTTGCATGAGTGTGTAAAGAACAAAGTGCTTCTTCTGTTTTGCAGTTTATGTCAATTGAGGTGGTGATGTCATCACTAAGCGACATGTTCCCGACATTGCTGCGTAGGCCCAACAGAAGGGAGCTGTTCCTCTTATTCTTCTGCACAGCGTCATTCTGCTTTCAGATTCTTATGACAACTCAGGTAATAACCAACTGTCTGATTCAAAATGTGCTACCATAGCAATAAATGCATGCACAAATTAGCTACAGACAGCTGTTAGCAAATCCTCTAATTTCAGTGACAATACAAAGCAGTAATGTATGATGTATAAATAGTGATCATTTTGATTCTCCTGGCAGTGTTGTACTATTTAAGAATGCCTTCTATTAAAACCTCTTTCTTTTTTCCATTGTTCTCTCTATCCTCTCTCCACAGGGAGGAGTCTACATCTTCCAGTTAATTGATTATTATGCGTGTAGTGGTGCTTGCTTACTCTTCATGGGACTGTTTGAATCTCTAGTAATTGGCTGGATCTTTGGTAAGTGCTTAGTGTTCATTTTCAAAAGAGTAGTTTCATTTCAGTTAATGTATTTAACACAGTGAATTTCCCTATTTTTGAATGCCCTCAGGGGCTGATCACATGTACAGTGTCATTGAGGACATGTGTGGAGAGCGGCCGAGTTTGTACTTTAGATTCTGCTGGCGGTATTTCACACCACTGATGTGTCTTGTGAGTCGTTTTTTCCTAAAATACACTGACTGGTCACTTCATTAAGTGCACCTCCTTGTATCTGCATTCTTTGTCTATTTTATCAGCTCCACTTACCAAATAGGTGCACTGTAGTTCTACAGTTACAGATTGTAGTCCATCTGCTTCTTTGCATACCTTGCTAGCCACCTTTTAACACTGTCCTTCAATGGTCAGGACCCCCACAGGACCACCACAGAGCAGATATTTTTTGGGTGGTGGATTATTCTCAGCACTTCATTGATACTGTTGTGGTGTGTTAGTGTGTGTTGCGCAGGTATGAGTGGGTCAGACACAGCAGTGCTACAGGAGTTTTTAAATACTTCAGCATCACTGCCACTGAGAATAGTCCACCAACCAAAAATATCCAGCCAACATCGTCCAGTGAGTGGACACGGTGTTTAAAAATCCAGGGGTACTTAATGAAGTGGCCGGTCAGTGTATGCCCACTGTTTGGCCTGTTTTGGAAAGAATTAAACATTGTCTTTCTCATTTTCATCATCATCTTCATCACTGGTCAGTTCCTTTCTTTCACTCAGCCTTTCCTTCGCCTTTAGGGATTTTTCATATTTTACATGGTGAGGCATCAGCCTCTCCGGTACAACCGTGTTTACGTATATCCTGACTGGGCCTATGTTCTTGGATGGCTCTTAAGCACGTCTTCCTTAGTCCTCGTCCTTGCATGGGGCTTGGTGAAACTTTACACTCACTCAGGGACACTGAGACAGGTGAGGACAAATAGTTTGAAATGTTGGAATATTAGTTATAGTTGACTTTCTATTTTCATTAAGATAGGTATTTAGGTACAGTATTGTACAAACGTCAGAGACCACCATTAATTAATTCATTCATTCATTCATGCATGTATTCATTCTATGATGGTCTCTGACTTTTGCAAAGTACTATATTTTTGACATTTGGCTTATCCAGGCTCCGCCCACAAATGTGGCCCTACATGTTCTTACATAGCAACTGTTGTGAGGCTGGAGAAGCTTTACTTAAGGTAGGCAAAAATCCCAATCAACCTAATGAAGTAAGATAGAAGTTTAGATTTCCAGTTTAAAATGCTGCTCTATTGAGCTGGACTATGTTGTTAACTATTTCCATATTTTGTCAAAAGCTGAGTTGTGCACTACAATTTCTTATTAGACTGGATATGATATTTTGCTACATTCTGTATCACTTCTTCAACCTTGCAGCAGTTAATAGGATAGAGCACATTTGTGGGTGGTGCATAGGCAGGTCAATTGTATTTCGAACATTCATGTATTAATCTATTGTTTTTTTCCAAGCAGCGTTTTACACATCTATGCACTCCAGATGCCAAGCTCCCTCTGACCCAAAAGCAAAGAGCTGATCTACAGGTTCATGAGACTCTAACAACAGGAATATGATGAGCACCAGCAATGGTTTCAATCCAATAAGAAGACCACATGTAAATACGCTAGCACGATAAAGTGCAGTTTGTTTATGGCTGTGATTAACTGAAAATAGAGCATCTCCCGCTTTATCCATATCTGCATAGTAAATTTGCAGCGTAGTGCTTCTGTACACTGTGCCAGCTTAAATTTGCTATTTCATGAAAGCAAATTGTTCTAAAGCTTATCTCAGATGATGAGTTACTATAACAACTGGCGCCTTTTACCAGGTCCTTTTTAATCTTACTGGCATTAATTAAGACTGTGTAGTTAAGGAGCCTGAGAACCAAATTTGCTCTAAATTAAGAGGAGCAAATTATTATTGGGGAAAGGCTAAATGTGCACTCTTAAATATTTCATTGTCGCTTAAATTGCTTTTTACAACGCAGCTTGGAAGATAGTCCCTCCTTACTGCTAAAGACTTGAGACTCTTCCCTCTTACTGCAAGACATAATTCGTCAGGAAAAAAGAGCAGTAAAAGAGAACAGCTGAGAATGAAGAGAGTGTGGAATAAGTCCCATAAGCTGTGTCTCTAGAGAGACGCAGACTCAGGACAAGCTCCACTTTCCATACTCAAGCCTTCAGCAGAACAAATGGGGCCTTCATTTTCTGAGGTGTTACATCTTGAGCACTTGTAATGGGAAGAAAATGTGATTTTTAAATGTATTTATTTAATATCCATGCACATTTATATGCTGTTAAAGACTATTTGGCACAGCACTCAACGTTGTCTTTTTTGTAGTAGACTCACTTTTTTTCCCTTGAAAAAGAACACTTGTACAAGGGCTTTCAAGTGAGGACAGTAGAAAAAGCCAAATCAATGGCTGCTATTAAAAATTCAAGGTGCAGACATGCTATAGACTATTGTTTAGGATGACTCTGCTATTAGGGTGACCAATGATGGGAGATTTATTTTTTTGTTTTTGTGCTTGTGGATTAGTGTTGTTATTATTATTGTTTTTCTTAGGGGCACACATCTGATTTATGAATGTCCTCTGGGAACTGTGATGAGAGAAAAGGCTCATTAAGTGAACAGAGCTCTTTTCAATGTTGTCCCGAAAGACCTTATTGACCATAATTAGTAAGACTATTCATCAAAACAGCTTTTTCATTGAAATCTCTATGTTGTTTTGCCTACTGTAGTAATTCAAACTACATAACTTCTGTTTAATTCTCTTGCTTAGTCCTTTAATTGCCATTGCAGGCAGGCAAGACTATTTTGCTCTTTAATTACAGTGTGAGATTGTTTTGTCCATATTGTTGTTATAAATACAGCAAAGTTTTGAGATGTTAACTTTTTGAACTTGTTCCCTATTTTCTAGCCATCATCTGCAGAACATATTCATTTTATAGAATCATCATGCTTGTTGTATTTAAACTCTGTAAAGTGTTGCAGTACTTATTTCATTGCAATGTTTTGGATGAAAACAAAGGGGTTATATTCTTGAAATGCCCAACAGAAAGTGATGCCATGAGAAATGTTTTCCCCTGTGGTATCTAGGTAGATATGGCCAAGCAAGCAATATCATTTGTTAGGACCTCAGGAGCTGAACTGAAGGCCTAACCATTAACATAATTATAAACAGACAGTGGAATCAACTGATCCAATGTGTGCAGTTTTCTGAGAAAAAAACATCACTTCAGGCCTTCTGGAAGTCCTAGATCTGTTACTGACTGTGAGTAAAAGTGATGTTAAAAATGAATAAAAGCATCAGCCTGGGTCTTTACTGAGAGGGTTACTGTAAAACTGTAAGATAACACACAAGGTAAACATATATGTTAATATTTCTGCTAAAAAACTTCAGGTAAAACATCTAGAATAGCCAAAAAATGTAAATGTGAATCAATATTAGCTTAGCACTAGCACACTGATAGAATCCCATAAGAGCACTAGCAGACATTAGCATTATCAAGTTTTTGGTCAGTTAAGGCCTAAACTGAAGGCCTGTCTCTAATAGTAAATGTCACTGCTGTCTAAGCAAGAAATTGGTCAATAGTCAGATAATGAAATATTTTTGATTCAATAAATAATTGTATTATATCTACATTTCATATAGCCATAGCCACTCTCCTTTTGCATTCCCTTGCAGAACTACATTTCAAGGGCTTTCAGGTAGAATGTGAATTCTTTCTAAAACTGTTTAAGGACACTGCACCTGGTATTAGTCTGTTGGACAAAGTGGTAGGATGTAAGCCACTCATAATTTCAGGTCCACATGTTAACGCTGACATCTAGACCGTGCATGCATTCATTCAACATGTATGGGTGGGACTAAACTGCTTTAGACTAAATAGCAGGGATGTTATAAAGGAAGTGACAGGTCACTGGTTGGAAAAAGAAGGAGAAAGCCTTGATGTTCAATATGGTGTCTATTTATGGGGAAAGTCCCACCCTTCTACAAAATGAACCAATTGGCCTGCTGGTAAAGACAGAACGGGAAAAGCCCCCTCAATTGTGAAAAAATAAAATTCTGTGCATTATTTGAGCCAAACACTGCACACTATTTATGAGATGTTTGTCAGATCTCACCAGTGATTTCATATATTGTTTGAAATTGTACTTTGGCCTTCAATTTCGAGTTTTTAGGTCTTCCCCTGTTCAAAGAGATAGGAGCCTGGTATGAGCATTGCTGAGATGGCTGCCGAGTGGACAGACTTTCTTATAAGGACTTTGTAAATAGACAGATAAATGTGTAAATACACAGGTAGGTAGTGGCTAGTTACAGATACTCTGTTACAGTACATTTTGATGGATTTGTACTTTCCTGAGTATTTTCAAATGATAATACTTTCACTCACACACAAAATCTAAGCTGCTTATCCTCCTAAGTTACTGGAGCCTATCCCAGCAGTCATTGGGCAGAAGGCAGGAAACACTCTGGACATGTCGCCAGATCATGACAGTCTTTGGACTGTGGGAGGAAACCCAAGCTGATACAGGGAGAACATGGAAACTCCACACCAAAAGCACCCTGGTCACCCGACCAGATAATCAAACACAGGCCCTTTTTACTGCAAGGTGACAGTGCTACCCACTGCGCCATGCATAATACATTCTTTTTTGCCCAATTATGATTATATGGATTTTCGAATATTGATTCCTTGTTGTGTGTGTTTAATTACATTATTTTACATTGGTGACTGGCTCTTTTGCCATATATGAGCTGTGGGTCTGTACATCAAACTGATGTATCTCAAAGAAACATGGAATATTCAGTTTTCCGTGATAACAGATACTATAGTCACACAATGCTAAGAGCAAACACTTTTCTATTAATGCATTGCTTGACTACATTATCTGTTGTTTATGTAGGTCTACAGAAGTATGTCATCTTAGTAACTGTTCTCAGATTACACTTCTCCGGCATTAAAGTCTATAAGCATTCTTCTACATACTCTGAGCAATATTTTGTGCTTATAGCAGAATACTCCCCACACAGGTTTTAAAGTGCAAACAGTTATTACTTTAACTGCTTATCCTGTTCACTGACCATTACACAGACTTGTACACTTACATCGGCTGCTGCTGATCCTTTTCACTGTGTTTAGCTGCACTATGTGAACAGTCTTCTATCCCTGTATAATTGCGCCGACTCATGATGACTCATCATAAACAGTGATTCCTTTAGACTGCAATGATTTTAAAGGGCAAAACTCAATAGCCACTGTCAGAACACTTATCCACACTGAAAACACAGTCCTTGTAACCCTGACTAGCTCGAGAACATAGACTACAAACCATTTGAACCACACACAAAGAAACTCATTAGCCTGCTAGAAATGCTGATATTCAGATAAAATTCAATGATAAATAAAAGGCCACAGCATGATTCTAGTCTTCAGAAACACTGGACCAGTTTTCATCACTATACAGTGTTCAGCACATCCTGCATGCTTTTGCACAATTTCTGCAGCATTGTCACTGCCAAATATGTGTGTGTAGCGAGCTTGACACCTGGTGTCTCAGGAAATTTGTGGTAGAAAGAGTTTGACATGCACATGCCATTTATTCAACATACTGTGCACGGTCAAAATTTTATATCTCTGAAATGGTAAAGAAAAAAGCGTGCAAAAGTCAGAGGCCTGCCCTATATTTATATAACTTCCAGAGAAAACAGTTATTAAGTACAAGTTATTAATTAAACTGCATAAGAAAAAAGCAGAAAGCAAACATGGAACAAATAATTACACAAAAAAATATTTTTCAGTAATTAGTGCTTTCAGTTTTTCAAGGAAATCAGCAGGGATATTTTTCCACACTGCCAAAGTTCAGTCCTAGAGGCTGGTTGCATTTTCTGCTTCTTACAATCATATAATAATCCAAATAACAAATTTAGACTCATAATTCCATAAAATCTTACTCCATGTTTTACAAACATGTCACGTTTTGTTGTTATGGTGCAATTTTTTTCTGTTTATCAGGTGTTGACAGTTTTGGTGGAGGTCTTGCTTGGCTGTTATGAGTCCAATTTTCTCTATACCCTTTAAATATATTTTGAACTCCAGTTTTGGAAACTCCTGTTTGTTTCTGTTATTTTTCTTTAGCTTTCCCCTTCCTTATACAACAGATTATCTTATATCTAATCTCCTCAGAAACAGCTCCTTTAGCCATTTGAGCACTTGAGAAAAAATGTTCAAGACAACTAAGTTGTGTTTGGGTAGCTGCTTGTGTGAATGTTATCTCTTCGAAGGGGAACATAATGTCAGTGACTCATTTGGGAGCAGCTTTTGTTGGGTAAACAGCTGTAACTCATTGGTTTTAAGAGTGGAAGTACGGAAGATTTAAAGTGGCAGTAGCGTGCACAAAGATAAAGAGTGGACTAATTAAATACTGAAAAAATGGATATTATGTACAATTGAGGCTTCTGTGTAATTTTCTGGTAAATATATGCATTCTGCTTTTTTCTGACACTAAAAGGTGAATAACTTGAACTTAATGGGCGTTTTGACTAGAATAGAAAATTGGGCTCTATGTTTGCACAGTAATGTATGTTATTGTAATGAGACGCTATTTAAAGTAGATTTCTATTGGCCTGTTTGTCCTCAAGTGTTCACACAATGTAAAGAACAGCACTTTTTTCAAACTGGGCACCTGTAACAAAAATATTCTTAAGTCTTACATAAAATCTTTAGTATGAAAATTCACAGTGAAATTGTTTTTCATGATTGCTGATCTTTGGTGGGTGAGGCAGCAGGAGCTGAAGAAAAGCTAGCAGATGCTACAGTCGAGGTGGCAGTCACCGCAGCAGCAGTGTGTGGAGGTGGGCTCAGTTTCCACACTGACTCATTGCGAGGAGTGGCCTGGCTGATGGGACAAGAGTTTCCCAGGCCTGCGTCTCCACCACAGACATGAAATCCAGAACAGATGGAAGCTTTGCTGAGCGTCACAGCAAAGACAACAGTGACAGGGAGAGAGCGCAAAACCACAAGAGTCATCACATTGCTGAACTGTGCTGAGGGCATGGAGATGTACACTGCAACAGATGTGGTGCACCTGTGGGGATGTTAAGTTCAACAGCAAAAATAGCAAGGGACAAACTATTAGAATATGTATATTACATTTTATATATTAGCCCATCTGTTAGTGCACAATTTATCACCCAAACACACACACAACCTTTTTGGAAGACTTGCTCTCAGTTTTTCAAAGTAACCTGTAGGAATATTTTTCCACACCTCCAAAGTTCAGTCTTACAGGTTGGTTGCATTTTCTATTTCTCATGATCCAAATAATCCCATACACATTCTATGATGTTGAGGTCTGGACTCTGGGGTGTTCAGTCTATTGTTCTAAGAACACCAGCAGCTTTGTTTGAACATTTTCAAAATTTTATTCATTTTTGTTTTTTTCCTTTTCTCAGTAACAGCTTCCTGACAGCCACACATCCTTTCAGACTCCTTACTTTGAGTTGTCTTCTCACAGTGGAAGGATGGACAGAAACATCTGAGGATTTTTCAGATCTGAAGCAAGAGTGGAGATGAAAGCGTTAAGTATGGTTTATCTGATGGTGAC